TTCCTGTATACACACATCTGTGGAAAACAACAGCTTTACTAACTTTATTTCCTCCTTTCCAGTTGCAACATCCATTTTTTTTTCTTTCTGGTGTTATTATTCCATTGGACCTTTGCAGCTGCAGGTTCTGCATCCACAGATTCAAATAATATTCATCAGAATGTAGTTAAGCCTACGAGGGGCTCCGCTGTATAGAACATGTACAACTTCTCCCCTATTGTTCCCTAAATAATACACAGTAGCAACGACATACAGAGTACTTGCTTTGTAGTAGGCAGAACAAAGAACCTAGAGATCATCTACACTAATGTGAGAACGTTCCTAGATGACATGCAAATACTATGCATTCTATTTTTTTATTTTGTGAGCATGTGCATGTGTGTGTACGTGCGTAAGGTATAGGAGTGTGTTGTATCACATGTATGTACACATTTGAGTGCATGTATGCCTAGTGGAAACCAGAGGAAGACACCAGGTGCCCTGATCTCCACTCTATTCCTCTGAGGCAGGGTCTCTCATGGAATTTGGAGCTAGGCTGGCCATCTGCGTGCCTTGGCAATCCTCCATCTCAACCCCCTAGCACTGGGGTTACAGGTGAGCATGGCCATATCCAGATTTTCTCCACCTGTGTGCTGGGAATTTGAACTCATGTCCTCATGCTTTGCATAGGCAATGCTTTCACCTGCTGAGTCAGCTCCCCACCCCTAACTACGCATTTTATGTAAGGAATTTGAGCATCCATGGGTTGTGGTATGAGAGAGTGCCCTGAAATCGACCTCCCAAGGACACCAAGAGACAACTTTACCAATTTGTGTCATGGTCACGGAAGAGTTACTTTAATCATTAAATAGGACATTAAACATAGATTTCCTATAGATAACCTTTTTTTTTCAATTAAGGAGTATCCATTGTATGCTTCCTTGTTGCTCAGAGCTGTTTTTTTTTTTTAAATCACGAATAACTGTTAAATTTTATAGTTGTTTTCTGTATTTATTGGGGTGATGTTTGGTATTTTTCTTGCAATGTGTTAAACCACACTGGTTAATTTTCAAGTGTAAAACATTTTATATCTCTCTGTGTTTGACTGGATGACAATTCCTTGGGATTTTTAACATTTGCACTCATTAGAGTTAAATGCCTGCCATTTTTTTTTTTTTTTTTGGTCTGATGTCATTCTGAGGATTGAATATTAGGGACTAATTCATTTAAAAAAAAGAAAGAAAGAAAAAAGAAACTTGGAAGTGCTCTGTCTGGCTCCACTGTGAGTTTGTGCAAGACTGACATTACTGCTTCTTTTGTGTTTGGAAGATTCCCCAGTGAGGGCTGCTGGGCCAAGAGTTTCCTTTGTAGGGAGGTTTTCAATTGCAAATCTGCCTTGTTCAACAATATGCAATTACACGGATATCTACCCATTCCCCTAACCATTTTACTAAGTGGGTGCCTTAACAGATTTATCCACAAATTTATGAATGGGGCCAAGTCCAGATTTATTACCATAAAGTCATTGATAGGAGCACCTTATTCTTTAATGTCTATACTATCCATAGCGAAATCCCCTTTTGTTTCTGATAGTGGAGTTTTTTGTTTTCTAGCTTCTGTCTGTATTAGTTAGTTTGGTATTTATACAAGTTAATGTTCTCATCCAAAAGCCAACTTTGCCGTTTCATCAAGATGGCATCTAAAACAGAGGAGGAAGTGACTCCAGCCTCGCTATCTTTACTTCCTGATTCTGTTGGGGAGAAGACTCACGTTCACCTGGCTCCTCATTGCAGCGCTTTCCATGCTGTTAACAAAACTGGGCTCATCTAAACGGAGTCCAACTAGCTAATTCTAAACATGCGCATTTTCATCATTTCCCATTGTGTGGGCTCCCTCGGAGGCCTGAAGAGGGTGTTCAATCCCCCAGAGCTGGAATTACGGGCAGTTGTGAGCTGCCTGATAAAGGTGTTGGGAACTGAACTTTGGTTCTCTGTGAGAACAAAGACTTGCTTTTAACTACTCAGCCATCTCTCCAACCCCGTCATTATTATTATTATTTTAAAGACAACTTTTGTCTTTGCTGGCACTTTGTGCTGTGTGTCAGCTATGTATCTCATTTGTCTCTGCTCTTAGCCTGGCCATTTCCTTCCTTCCTTTCCTCGGTTGACTATGCTGTCAACTTCCTGAGCTGGAAACAGGGATGATTGGTTTTGTCCGTTTTTATTTTTTTTAATTAATTAATTAATTAATTAATTAATTTATTTATTTGTATGTGTGTACATGTTTGTGTGGAGGTGCACATATGTGATAGTGCCTGTGTGGTCAGAGGACAGCTTGTGAGAGTCTGTTCTCTCCTTCCACCTTATGGGTCCCAAGAATGAAACTCAGATCTTCAGTCTTAGCCTCAAGTCCCTCTGCTCAGCAAGCCATCTTTCTGGCTCAGATGATTTGTTTAAAGGGGTTTTAAAAAACCATACTTTAGGTATAGTGATATAATATACATATTAAATAACACTATAATAATAGGATTTGCTATAGTTTTAAACAATTTTATTTTTAGGCAGGATATCATTATGTAGCCTGGAACTTGCTATGTAGATCAGGCTGGGCTTGAACTCACAGAGATCTGCCTACCTCTGCCTCCTAAGTACCAGCATTAAGGGCATATGTCATCATGGTTGGCATAATATTTTAAACAAAGTGGGGGAAGTTCAGGTTAGAAAACCTCTCTTTTCCAGAACATTATTTTTTTAATCACTTTTTCTAAATGGGTCAAGGTGACAAAAGTATTTGGTGACTTGTCTTGTCCTGTTCCTAGTGCACCAATGGTTAATGGAATTAAAAAGAGAGCTCAATGTTCACAGTCATGGCCTCAAAGGAATAACATATGTTCAATTCTTTGGGATGCAAAAATGGTTCTTGCTACCTCAAGAGACAGAAAGTTGAATTCACAGACCTGCTCCAAAAACAGAATAAAAATCATGATGGGGTTAAAACTAAAAAAAAAAGGAGCTTTAGATGCTCTTTCATGATTGGTTTTTAATCTCTTGCATTAGTTACACTGTGACAAAGCATCTTGCAGAAGCAACATCAAGAAGGGTTTATTTGGGCTCACAGTTTGAGGGTGCAGAGTTCATCATGGTGGGAAAGTCAATGATCACATCGCATTCACTGTCAGGAGGCAGAGACTGATGGATCCTGGAAGCTTGCTTCCTCCTTATTCAGCCCAGGACCCCAGCCCATAGATGGTGCCATCAACAAATTAAGATGGGAAGACCTCTCTTAACATGGGTGGTAGGTACATTCCAGTGGCAGCACAGATACAAACTTTTCTAAGGGAAAAGCTTTTTCCTTTTGACTATTTGCCTTTGAGTCTTGCTGGCAAGCTCATCTACCCTGTTCATGAGTGTATCTACCCTCCTCCTCCTGCTGCTGCTGCTGATGATGATGCCAAGGCTGCCAAGGATGCCACCATTCTTCCCTGATAGCCAAACCGAGATTCTTCATCCTTCCAACATGGTTGAAGACTAGTGGCTCTACAGCATCCCTCCAGGCCTGCAGTGGCAGATTGGGAGTGCCGAGGCCTCCAGCCTCATAGATTGAGCATCTACCAGGTCTCAGCCTTTCCTGTGTGAAGACAGAATGCTGGAGTACACAGATTGTGTCCTGTAAGCCAATCTACTAAACCCTTCTTCAACATATATGTACATATTCCTCCCATCACTTCTGTTCCCCTAGAGAATCCAGATACATGCTGATACATGCACCATCTATGCCAGTGGATTTGTCTATTTCTCTTCTGTGTTGGAAGCCTAAAGAAGCTGGTTCTAATATCAGCAGAGGCAGCAAGAGGATAGATGAACTTGCCTGCAGAGTGAGGGCAAGCAGGCAAAAAGCAAAGTTTCCTGTAGCCCGAAGTTTTCCCGTGTCCCACCCGGCCCACAGCAGCTTATAAAATAATCAGAGGTTTAATATTAATTACAAACTGTTTGATCTATGGCTCAGGCTTCTTACTAGCTAGCTCTTTCTTCTTAAATTAACCCATTTCTATTCCTCTATGTTTTGCCATGTGGCTTTGTGGCATTACCTGTGTTCTATTACATCTTGCTCCCCCGGCTGCGCTCAGCGTCTCCTCCGACCCTGCCTTCTTCTCCTTGTCTCTCTGCTTGGATTCCCCACCTGGCTCTATTCTGCCTTGCCATAGGCCATGGAAGCTTCTTTATTATCCAGCGGTAGCAACATATATATTCACAGAGTACAGAAAGACCATCCCAGAGCAGTTTCCTTCTCCCATGTCCTTTTCTCTGGGGTGCCACCAGAAGGGGCTACCCATATTTAGAGTGTGTCTTCACACCTCACACAATCAGATCAAAAGAATCCCTCATAGAAGTGCCCAGATGATTGTGCTTTAGATAATTCCAGATCCTGTCAAGTTAACAACCAAGATTAACCATTGTACAGGTTCTTGTGGATTCCAGGCGGCCCTTGAACTTGCTATGTAGCTAAGACGACCTTAAACTTCTGATGTCTGACTGTTGGGATTACAGGCATGTGTCTAGTTTTTGTGCTCTTAGGGACTCGATTGAGGGCTTCATTCATGCTAGGCAAACACTCTGCTAACTGAGCTACATCTATCTGCCCCATCCTTAGTGGAAGGCAAGATTTGACACCTAAAATTGCTCTCAGACTGTCATACTTGTGCCATAACATATGCCCATACTTGAGCGTGCATGCGTGTACACACACACACACACACACACACACACACACACACACACACACACACACGTGCACATAGGCTCGCGTGCATGGGGGTGGGATGGGGAAGACTTTACTGTTATACTTATTGTTAGAATTTCTAGCCACTCCCCCAGCTACATGACCACACATGCGCTGTCCAATAGCCAGGCAAGATGCTTAGTCATCCTGGGGCCTTACGTCCTACATAATCTGTGTACTGCGTGATCATGTGCTACATGCACGGTGTAGCTACATAAGCCCATATGCACAGGTGCGGGGAGGGGGGGTCTATAAAAGCGGGTTCCACCTATTCCTTCCCTCTCTTCCTGCACAGTCATTCCACAGGCCTTTCTATTCCCTCCCCTTAATAAACTCCTACAGTGGGTTTTGTTGTGCCTCGTGGCTTCTCTCGAACGGTAAACAGCACCACTTAATAAACAGCACGTATTCCTCTTACATACTCCATCTACCATCTGCTCTCGACTATTCAAGGTCTGGCTCTTCTCATCACCTCCACCATCGACCCAGAGTAGAAGTCCAAGACGTGGAGTGTCCTATGACAGACGCTGCCCATCATGCCTCCTGTGCTCTCCTCTGTTCTGACCCTCTTGCTGACCCATCAACAACGACAACCTGTCAGTTCCCTGTTCGTGACCCTTACTGGCTTCCTGGTTCTCTGAGGAGTGTCAGAGGATGTAGCCCTCACCAGCCCCACAGCATCTCTCCTTGCCACATCTCTGCACCTCATCCCTGCCTTCCTTGAGAGCGTGCTTCACCTGGAGCTCCTCACCTGCCTTCTCACTGCATGCACCCTCAACTTCAAGCCTCTGTGCCTCCCGGAAGACTCCCCGCCCTTGGTTGTTACCACCTGTCTCCTCAGCAGCAGCAGCGGACAGGTCTACGTAGGACTGATCAGGCCAGGGGTTCATCCTGGTGACTGGCCAGGAAGAGTGATGGCCCAGCCTGAGCACACTCACAGACATCTCTGGGGCTGTTGCTGCTCTGGTAAGCCAGACCAATGGGGTTAAACACCACACTGGCTTTGGATTAGCTTTGGCCTGGCAGAGGCAGGTGCACCAATGTTTAACCAGATGCTGGGAAGCTGATGTCAGCTCAGCCCGGAGCCGCCCAGCCGGGTTTTCTGTGGTCCTCTGCTTCCTGGGCTTTGTGCTGAGAAAAGGCTGAGCTATTGAGAGACAGAGGGTGTGTGCCAGAAGAGCCTAGTTCTTTCTCTGGCTCTGTGGCCTTGGCTGAGTCCTTCCCACCCCTGATTTGTGTCTCGCTGTAACAAAGAATGGTCTTGGTGGTCCTCTGGATCCCTCCCGAAGAGACTACCTAAAAGCAAGCGAGCCTTAGGCTCCAGAACCCCCTAGCTAGAATGCCCTGGCATGGGACTTTCCCCACCTCACAGGGTGGGGTGGGTAAATCTTTAACTTGCTAGCTCTGGGTAGGCTGAAGTCTTTCTGGATGACTGGTTGTGGGGGATTAGGGAGGAGGATGTAAGGTGTGTGTGTGGACAGTCCCGCTGTGGTGAAGAGGGGATACTGGAAAAGGAAAGGAATCGTGCAAAACAGGACATGGAGGAACGTGGGTCTCCTGACGGGTAAAGCACTCTTCATGCGATGTTACAGAGCCCTTGAAGCGGGCCCAGAGGACAGCGACGAAGCACAGGGGTGGTAACTCTTTTTTTTTTGACACAGAGACCCAGCACGGAGCCTGGAGCAGGGGCCAGAAGGACCAGAAACCCCCATTCAAGTGGTGCTCAGGTAAGTATGGATGGGCTAGGAAACACCCGGGCCACAAAGGGACCAAAAGCACTATCCGGATGGACCATCTGGTCTCTCTTGGATACCAGGGTGCGTCCCATGAGCACGGCAGAGCTGCGTAGAGGGGAGCAGAGTGTTCTGCACTGCTCAGGGACCCGGACTCTGCAGGTGAGAAGCCTTCCCAACCTCCGCAAAAGAACCTGTGGAGGGGACCCTGGGGCCCAAATGGAGCAACATTGCCTTAGGACTCTTCTCTCTGTAGATTGCCCCTCCTCTACAGAGTGCCCCGCCCTCCTTTTAATTGTCCCGCCTCCCCAGGGTGCCCTCTTCCACCCCAGAAATGCCCCACCCCTCCTAGATACCCCGCTCAGTCCGGAGTGTCCGCCTCTCCAAATGCCCCATCCCTACACAAGGCCTCGCTCATCCCCGAGGGTCCCTGCCCTCCAGGGTGCACATCTACTCTAAAGCCCTTTCCTTCAGAGTGCCCTGCCCTCCTTCAGATGACCTTTCCCGTCTTGGGTGCCCGGTCCTGCACAGTGCCCCGCCCCTACGCCATCCCCACTCCAGGTGAGCCCCCCAGGTGGCGGCCCCGACGTGGCGTTCCGCTTCGGCGCGGTACTGGACGGGGCACGCACGCAGGAGGACGTGTTCAGGGCGTGTGGCGTGAAGCGCCTGGGCGAGCTGGCGCTGCGCGGGTGAGTGGGACGTGGGGTGCGCGGGGCGCGGGGCGCAGGGAGCGCGGGGGGCGCGGGGCGTGGGTCTCCGCCCCGCCCCGATCCCCGCCTCCCGGGCCCAGCCACGCCCTTGTCGCCCGCAGTTTCTCCTGTACGGTCTTCACTTTTGGCCAGACGGGCTCCGGGAAGACTTACACTCTGACAGGACCTCCTCCGCAGGTGGGTAGCAGGGTTGGGATCTGGCCCCGGGTCGGGTTGTGGGCGGGACTCCAGGGCGGAAGGGGCGTGGCCAAAGAAATCCCGCCCCGTTGGTTCGTAGACTTGGTATCTGAGGAACGAAAGACTCCCAGGGACTTGCAGAGTTTGGAGCGCTGTATTCTAACTTGGGCAACATCAGTTACTCGCTTTCAGTTAATTCGTCTGTGGGGTGGCACTGATGAACTACTGACTGAGATTCCAGTGAGATAGTGTGGCGGAGCGTGGCACTGCTTCTGGCGTAGTTAGTGTACTGAAGAAAGGGTAGACTATGCTGCCGCTGCCGCTGCTGCAGCTCCAGCTGTCCTTGTCCCCAGGGAGAAGGGGTGTCCGTACCCCCTAGCCTGGTTGGCATTATGCAGAGGACCTTCGCCTGGCTATTAGATCGCGTGCAGCACCTGGGTGTCCCTGTCACCCTCCGAGCCTCCTACCTGGAGATCTACAATGAACAGGTAGGCGAATGGCAGTCCACCTGGAAAGAAGGCCGTATATTCCAAGGACCAGGGATGCTAAGAAGTGGAAGGGGAGGCGGGATCATGGTCAAAGGGCTATGAGTGGATGGAGCCTGCTTCTCCTCTCTCCTCTCCCAGGTTCGGGACTTGCTGAGCCGGGGGTCTCCGCGGCCTCTGCCTGTTAGGTGGAATAAGGCTCGGGGCTTCTATGTGGAGCAGCTTCGGATGGTGGAGTTTGCTAGTCTGGAGGCCCTGATGGAGCTCCTGCAGATGGGTAGGCTGCTTCACGGAAACTTTGGGAGTAAGGATTCCTCAGCTCCCTCTGAGGCGCCCTGGGGATCGGGAATACTGGAATTGGGACTTCAGAAAGGACTCTTAAGGCAGAGAAGGGCCAGCCTAGCAGCAATTCAAAGATGCGGCAAGGGTGCCCACATGCGGGTTGCCTTGCCTTCCATAGTGCCCGCCCATGCCTCTTGCTCACTCCTCTTGGTTTTATACCGTCCACTTTTGCAGGGCCTAAGGACAATAGTCATACCCCTTAGTTCGGCTTATCTATAAGGTCCTGCTATTCCAGCCTTAGTAACTCATTTGAGCATTTACTTAGAACCCTCCTCTGGCAGACGCCGGGGGACACTGGGGCACTGGATCTGACCCCAGCATTCTACTTCTCTGCTGATCTCTGTTTTCATTTCTCTGTCTTTCCACACAGTAGGAGAGGTGCTTATTTGCCCCTCTTCTGTTCCCTTCTCCCACACTCAACACTCACTCCCTGAGCCAGCCCTTCATGCCTCTGTCTGGATGCCGCTCTGACATTCTTGCTCCCTGGGGATGGCCCTTTCCTGGGATGGCCCATTCTTCCTAGCCGGCACAGCTCCCGATGTCCCCTTCCCCAGGCCTTAGCCGCCGTCGGAGCTCCTCACATACCTTGAACCAGGCCTCCAGCAGAAGCCATGCCCTGTTCACGCTCTATGTCAGCCGCCCAACTGTGAGTGCCCAGCCTGGGGAAGGGCTAAGGAAAGGTTACCCAGCAAAGCTCTGTCTTTGCATGTGTAAACCAGCTTGGATCTTCTGGGTGTATGGGGCGGGGGAACCTTTGACTTTGAGACCTTGTGAATTTGATGGAGACAGTCTTCTCCAAGTTCCCATCAAGCCCTGGTCCACCAGACTCAGCAGGTACCTGCTGTGGATGCTGGGGAGTCTCCTGTCGGGGGAAAGCTGTGCTTCGTGGACCTGGCAGGCAGTGAGAAGGTGGCGACAACAGGATCCCGAGGGCAGCTGATGCTCGAGGCCAATAGTATTAACCGCAGCCTCCTGGCATTGGGTAAGAACTGGGGGCTACAGGTCTGACTTCTGGGTCCCTTCTTTGCTCTGGATCCACTGCTATACTAGGGAGACCACAGGACTCGTAGTTACAGATGAGGGCTGGAGTTCTGGCATCAGGTCTGAGGCTAACTTTCCCTCTCTGGTTATCAGTCTGTACGTTCTAAAGTCAGCAGCATTACACATATCCTTTATACACTTGGAAGACAGCCACAGTAAGGGGAGAGGAATGGGTCTGTGTACCCAACAGCATGGCTGGCCCTGGGACCCCAGGGAGCTAGCCTCAGTACTTTCCTATGGTGTGGGAGCTGCTGGTGACATTCCTTTTCAGTTAGTTATTTGTTGAAGATATCTTGGCGTCTCTGCTGAATGTTGGAAATTGGGTGAACGTCCCATCCGTGCCTTCAGAGAGCCTGGTCTGCTGCCGGACACCAGTGTGTAAAGTGATGAGATGGGACTAGAGTTTTGCCAGCCTGGCTGAGCTTCCTGCTCTGTAATGGCCCAGCCAGACACCTTTGGGCACACAATGCAGTCTCTCTGGGCCTTCCTCTTCTCGCCAGGCCACTGCATCTCTCTGCTGTTGGACCCACAGAGGAGGCAGAGCCACATTCCCTTCCGAGACAGCAAGCTCACCAAGTTGCTGGCAGACTCACTTGGGGGCCGTGGGGTCACCCTCATGGTATCTGATGGATGAGGAGGCTGGTCGAGGGGCTGGGCCCTGAGGAAGGGTCTCTTCCATAGAAGCACTCAGAGGAGGTCCTCTCTAGGTTGCCTGCGTGTCCCCTTCAGCCCGGTGCCTTCCTGAGACTCTCAGCACTCTGCGATATGCAAGCCGAGCTCAGAGGGTCACCACCCGACCACAGGGTCCCAAGGTGAGCAGGCAACAGCCAGAGCCTGAGTTAGTTGGAATCTAGGGCTGGATCAGAGTTGGGATTTGGGTTGGAAGCCTGGGAATGATGTCATGATTGGTGTCAGGGTCATGGGCAAGGGTCTGTGTCACAGTTAGAGTCTGGGCAGGGCTGAGGGCTGGAAGACTGAGTTGGACTGTCATCAGAATCTATCCAGGACTTCAGCTGGTTAGGTCTAATAGGGGGTCTGATATGTGGTTAATTTGGGGAATCGCAATCTAAGCCAAGACTGGGGCAGAAGTGAGTTTGGGCTTGGGATCAAGTCTGGTTCTGAGTCCCTTCAGGATGACCTAGTAAAGACAAGGCGTAGCCTGGGCCAGCATGCAGAGCTGGGGTGAAGCGGGGGCTGGAGTTTAGGCTCCACAAATCCCCACACCAGGAAGGCCTTGTGCAGTGCACCAGCCTATACAGTCATAAACAGTGGCCCTGGGTTTCTTCCTTGGTAGTCCCCTGGAGTAAAGCCACCCCAGCCAGGAGAGGCTGAGCTGTTGCAGCTCCAAGAGGAGAATCGTCACTTGCGGTTCCAGCTGGATCAAATACAGACCAAGGGTATGAGCTCCCCGGGGCCCGAGAGGAGGTGGTGGATAGAGTCTGGGTTGCTGAGATAACAGCAATGCTCTGCTTCCCCTCAGCACCAGGGATCCATGGGGCCCGGGTGGCCTGGGCCCAGCAGAACCTCTATGGGATGCTGCAGGAGTTTATGCTGGAGAATGAGAGGCTTAGGTAAAGCAAGATGGGGCCAGCCCTGGGACTCGGTTCCTACCCCTTCTTGCTCCTCTATTTTGGCCAAGATACTACCTACCCATCCCTGGTTCTCTCCTCCCCTTGGTTCCCACCTTCCTCGTGGTGCTGGTCCTGCCCCCCATCACCTGGAGCCTGCTCCCCGGCAGGAAGGAAATGAGGCAGCTGCAGAGCAGCCGGGACCTGGCCCGGGCAGAGCAGCACGTCCTGGCCCAGCAGGTCCATGAACTGGAGAGGTGAGTGTAGCCCTATGGAAGGCCTGGGATGTGGACGCTGGCAGAGGGGACTTCACGAAACAAGTGAGAGTCTGATTCTGATCATTGGCTTCGGCTCCTGATTCGGTCACCTCCTGGCTGCATGTGTCACCCTCGGCTAATCATCTGAGCATGAATTTCCTGGTCCCCTCTTCTGGGAGATGGGGTCTTGGCTTGGCCGCCTTACAGGGTTGTTTGCGGATGAGGGGATGAGTTCATAGAGAGGTGTCGAGGCTGAGGACTGAAGGCTCAGACCCCACTCTTCTTCCCAGGCACCTCCTTTCTGCTTGTTCCCTTCCCCAGCAGGGCTCTGCCCCTATGTGCCCCGGCTCGATGGGCCCAGCTGCCTCCTGCCATGTGAGTGTCCCTGCTCACCCTGGGTTGTGGGAGACAAGCTAGAGTGTCATTGAGTCACTGTGATGGCCTCTTGCAGGCACTGCCACCCCTCTGCTTCTGCTGTCACACCTGCCCTCTGTGCCGAGTATCCCTGGCCCACTGGGCCTGCCCACGGAGAGAGTGCCATGTGCCACAGGTAAGAAAGGCCAAGATGAGCCTGGAGAACTGGAGACACTGACCCGGGCTTCAGCGATCCTGGTGATTCCAGGGCTCTGGACTGGGGCATGGGAGTGAAGGCTGGGCCAAGTCCCTCTCTCTGCCCAGGATGTAGAATGTCTGCTTGCCTGGCCTCTAGTCCTATCTTCGGTTAGGAGTGCACTCTCTCTCACTCACTTACTGTCTCATTCACACATGTTCATCCGTGTCTTCACTTCCTTCATCAATTCACCCATTCCTTCTGGACACCTTCCTATGCCAGCCCAAGTGTTGGGCCCGCCACGGTTTCGGTCTCTGCTTTCAAAGAGCTCCCAGTCCCTGGGAAAGACATTACAAGAACCACCTGTAGCCCACGGAGGCAATGAGAGATCCAACTCTGTATGCTGGCCTGCTGTTCTTGGCGTCCTGTGCAGCTGGAATAGCTGGGGGTCAGCATGGGGGCAGTGGTACCCAGACCTGAAAGCCTAAGGTCACCCAGGATGGGCTTTGGTCTTTTCAGCAGGTGCTAGAGCCCGAGGCCCAAGGTCACATGTCTCTGTCTGCTCGGCTCCCACCCTGGGCACCTGCACCAAGTCCTGGCTCTTCCAAGCCCCCACGAGAGAGGTGAGCCAAACCTGGGGTGTTAGAGTGGGCAGGGGAGGCCTGGAGGCACCAGGCTCACTGTTCTTCCATGTCCACCAGGAGCCACAGTGACTGGACACAGACCCCAGTCCTGGCAGAGATGCTGACAGGAGAGGAGGTGGTACCTTCTGCACCACCCATGCCCACCAGGTCCTCGAACATGCCACCATGCTGAGGTGAAAATTTGGGGGTTTCGTTCTTGAACCAGGGAATGATGGGAAGTGATTTCTAAGACCTTTCTAGTTCCCAGCCTCTGAGTCTCATGGCAGAGTCCTCTCCTCTAGTCATGACCCCTACTGGAGCCTGGGGACTTGGGGAGAGAGTGCTTGGGGCTTCCACAGAAGAGCCTAGGCTTCAGTAGACCTGGGAGGTAGCAAGGGTGGGTACAGACTTTGAGTTTAATTTCTCCTTAGGAGGATCTGGGATCCTGAACCTGACCCAGAGGCCGGAGGCCCTCACACACTAGATCAACAGCTCCCTGAACCTCCACGGGAGTCAGCCACAGCCCAGCGAGAGCGTGAAGAGCCCTGAGCAAGGCCTCTCTTCTCTTTAAACGCTGCCAGACTGGCTCTGCCCACTGGGCCTGCATCTCTGTCTGTTAATGGGAAAGAAATGTTGCTGGGTAGAGCTGGGGGATTGTAAGGTAGTACAACCCCCCCCACCAGGCTTTGAACCTGAGACTGGGTTCAAGAGACACTGGAGTGGGTGGGAGTGTCTGAATAATGGGGCTGGAGAGATGGCTCGGCGGTTAAGAGCACTGGCTGCTCTTGCAGAGGTCCTGAGTTCAATTCCCAGCAACCACATGGTGGCTCACAACCATCTGTAATGAGATCTGGTGCCCTCTTCTGGCCTGCAGTCATACATGTTATATACACAGTAAATAAATAAATCTTTAAAAAAAAAAAAGAAAGAAAGAAAGAAAGAAAAAAGGAAGGCATTAGCTGTAATCTAGTTGGTCTTGTGCTCTGGGTGGCCATCTAGGTGGCTGTCATGATGAGGGGTGATCCATGAGGGGTGAGGGGCTGGAAGAGGCAGTGGGGCTGAGAAGCACAACCCCAAGACTTCAGGGTGCTCTGGCCACATCCAGAGTTTGGGCTGTGTCAGAGGCATAGGGGAGCCTTGGAAGGCTGCCAAGAAGCCCCCAGCTTAGGTTTGTGTCTTGGTCATGTTGACCCCATGGGAGGCAGAAGCAGCACACTGGCAGAGATCGTCAAAGAGAGAAAGAGGCACCTTGGTTTGCAGTACTTAAGCAGGCATTCAGGTGGGACTCCTCTCAGACCTGAGCTGTGGGACTGGCCAGGGCTCCAAGCAGGCAAGCCTCGGCCATAGGCCTGTGGGAGCCTTGGGGAAATAGCAACCCAAACTAGTTAGGAATCTCCAGGGAGCATCTGGGAGCCTGGCAGGGCTGCAAGACTGTCCTGGAGACCTATCTCTGAATAGGGTGGTCCAGGTGTGGACACCGGGACCCGTTTCTCCACCGTACTTCCTGGTACAAGACCAAGCAGAGAAGACTCTGCACCTCTCACCCAGCATTCTAAAAAGAGGCCCTGAGTGTCTCCAAACATGTCTCCTTTGGGAACAAGGACAAGAAGATAAAACCAGGGTGTCTTGAGGCCCCTCTGAATATGGTGTGTCTTAGGCTTTTCTGAGTCTCCCCAACTCCTGAGTCTGTGTAGGAAAGGTTCTGGAAGCTGGGACTAACTAGTTCAGCCCAGGCTGCAGCCCCCAGGGAGCAGATGTTGAGAGGTGTGACTTGTGGCTGGACATTGGGGCTATTCAGCAGAGGCCAGGATGTCCTTAGAAGGTCAGGGTCAAAGCAGAATCCAGAGACAGGGTGATGGCCAGAGGCAGGCAGGCAGAGCGGGTTTAGCCACATGGGTTCCAATCACCTTGTTGCTTCTCCATAAGTGGTCCTGGGCATAGCTGCCCTGAGCCCAGGTTACCTTGTGTCCAAAATGGACACAATAGTGATGTTCCTTTACATGACTCTTAACGCAGACGAAATTCTCTGACATGTGGAAATAATGTCATAAGAGGCTTTTCTTGTGTTTGGCCAAGAGTTTGGTCAAAAGGAAAGTTACAGTCACGTGACAGTTTGATAGAGTTATGGTCCTGACTCTGGAGATGGCTTGGTTGATAGAGGACTTGCTGTGCAAGCATCGGTCTGTAGCACACACAGGAACATCAACATGTAAGGCTGGTGAAGTGGCTTAGCAAGTAAAGGCACTGGCTGCCAAGCCTGTCAATCTGAGTTCAAGCCACAGGACCCATGTGTAGTAGAAAGACAACCATCTCCAAGTGTCCTGACCTTGACTTGAGCAACATGGCTCCTCCAGGAGACGGAAAACAGACAGACAGACAAGTATGTGCATGCATGCATGCATGCATACATACATATACACAAAATACAGATGGAGCGGCACATGCTTGTTGTAACCCCACGACTGAGGAGGCAGAGACAGGAGGATCCCTGGGGATCGGTCAGTCTAGCCTAATCAACGAGACAGGCTAGTGAGAGGCTCTGTCTCATAAACAAGAGGTAGATGGTGCCTGAGAAATTATTCCTGAGGTTGACCTCAGGCTTCCATATATGTGCACAATATACAAATAGACACATTCACACAAACTGCTCGACAGATACATAGGCCAACCTGCCTGGGGCGTGTGTTGCTCTCACAGAACACAGGCAGTGCCTAGGAGCTCTGCCTGGGCAGGGGTGCGGTTCTCAAGACGGGATTCTAGAAAAGTCTTGTGGAGGTGATGCTAATACAGGAGACCGGAAGGGAGAGGGAGTCCCAGATGTCAGCACAAGGTCCTCTTTGCTGACATTTTCGCAGCACCTTGTCAGTGTGGGTGGCTTTGCCGTTTCCTGCTCCTCCTTGGCCCCCTGAACACTTATCTCACTGCCTGGTGTATAGCCCTGCTTGTTGGGAAGTCCTCTGCCTCAGGCAGAGAAGGCCCTGGCACTGAGCATGAAAGTCTTCCCTAGCCACCCTGGGAGTTGGAGGAAGGATGGGGACCACCCAGGGGAGACCCTGGCCCCAGCTGCCTCATTAGCATTTGGAGGATCCTCTTCAGCCAGCTAGGTTCCTTTCCTGAGCCCTTAGCTCAGCAAAAGCCTCGTTTCCTTCCCCAAGGCATATGGGACCGCTGACCTCCACTGGCCCTGGCTCCACCATTCCCTCTGCTCTCCCCCCAGGATGGCCACTTTTCTAGGATACCTAAGCCCTGGAGGATTCCACAGAATTCTAGTCCCAAGCGAGACTTCACATCCATTTGACCCTTAGCGAGACCTACAGACTCCAAAAGGGCTCCTCTGGAATCCTAAAAGCCACTGCCTAAGGCAGGTTGCTGGACTTGGGGGACAGGGCTTTGGCAGTTTAAAAGGCTGTCAAAAGAAGGCTGTCAGTACCTCAGAACACTGGAATTGAGGGAGGCTCATAGAAGTCCAAGGCCCTATGAATTTCTCAGAATTCCAATTCCTTAGATCTCTTTGGAATTTTAAAACATCATATTGAAATTGGTATGGATCTGATGGGGAGGAGACATTCGTTAGAGCTCTGGAGGCCATCTATGAGTTTCCAGAATACTGGCACATCTGAAGAGACCTGGAGATGTGAGACAAGTTGAGTCTCCCAGATCCTTGGGAGTCCCATCTTTAGCGAGTGCAGAGTGGGGTGTGTTGCAGAAGCCACAGATAGCTGTAGGACAGATGGCACAAGTTTCAGGAAGATGCTTCTGAGGACACTGTTCAAACTACCGGGAGATGCTCACTTGTGCACTTGTACACACACAGCATGCACACACAACCTGCACACATACAGCATGCACACACACAGCATGCACACACAGCATGCACACACAACCTGCACACATACAGCATGCACACACAACCTGCACACACACAGCCTGCACACACAGCATGCACACACACAGCATGCACACACAACTTGCACACATACAGCATGCACACACAACCTGCACACACACAGCATGCACACACAACCTGCACACACACAGAATGCACACACACAGCATGCACACACAGCATGCACACACAACCTGTACACACACAGCATGCACACACAGCATGCACACACACAGCCTGCACACACAAATAAAGTTTTCAAAATCAATCAGTAAAAGTAAATGACCGTGAGGAGGGCCAGGCTCATAGCTCAGGGAGATGAGCACTTGCCCTGGGTTCAAATCACGCCACCCTACAAAAAGACAGTGAAGTCTCATCAGGGATGAACCCCCAGACAGACGCCCAAGAGTCAGAGTCAATGGAGAGTGGACCCTACTGTCAGAGCAGCTTGCGACTTTAACCCCTATCTCCCCAGTGGCTCTTTTCTCTTCAAGCATTTCTCCTTTGGTCTCATGACACATTTGCCCAAATTCATATTCCGTTTTAGAGCTCTTGTGGGAGTTTCAGCCCCTTAGGGGACAGTTTGTCTCCTTGTAAAGGACAGTTCCATCTCTGACTTCTTAAGTGTCCAGGATGCATCTGCCTTAGTTTTCCAGATAAACATGGTGGGTCAAGTAGGCAAATAGATGTGGCCCTGCTAGGAATCAGGAACAGCGATCAGTAGAACTCCAGACAGGTGAGTGCCATGGCTGGAGAGCAGGACTCTAACCGAGAGACCTGCTCCATGAGCCTTGCATGGCCCTAGTTGTCACTGATGTTGGCCCTAGGATGAACTTTGACAGTTGAGTTGGGCTGTGGCCCTGAACCCTCACTCACTGTGATTGTAAGCCCTCACTTAGAGACAAGCCCTCTACTTAGCAGATACTGGTAATACTAGCCTGAAGCTGAGCCAGTGCCCTGCTCTTGTGGATCGTCTAGCCAAGTGATGAGGAAAAGAGAAGCCAAATGACAATGACTGTGCAGGAATCGTGACAACTAGTGCATCTGTGTGTGCCAAGCCCTGCTCGCAAGCCTCACAGTGTGCCAGAGCCTTCGTTCCTCAACAGCTACCCGAAGCAATGTGGATGCACTTCTCAGTTTACAGGAAGGAGAGGCAGGATGCACATGTGATAGGAACAGCTCCAGAGGAAAAATGTTCTCAAAGGCCACTGTGCGAGCAGTCCAGCTGGACCTCAGGGGAAGGACCAGTCAGGGGTCCCTGAATATAGTCAGTTTGAGCCGAGAGAGCCCAACCATGTCAGGAAGAAGTTTGCCCCTAGGAGGAAGTGTTACCACCCCACAGACAGGGAATTCCTCAGACTGGGTCACTGGCAACCTGGCTCAGCAGATAATGGCATCTCCCTCCAAGCCTAATGGTCTGAGTTCAATCCCTGGGACCCATGTGTTAGGGAGAGAATCAACTTCTGAATGCTGTCCTCTGACATCCACACGCAATGTATGGCACACGTGTACCCACAGACATATACAGACCTGCACACGAAATAAAGAAATGAAATGTTATTTTTTAAAAGGATTCTTTCAGACTTCTCAGGGAAGCAGGACTTGTACAGCCCCAGCTGGAATTGAGAGAGCCGGAAGTGCAGGGCAGTGGTGTCCAATGGGCAGGGCCGTGGACAAGGCAGGTCTGAATGGTCCCCAGGCTCTGGAGTCTCAGCAGGCTTCACTCTCTCTCAGCCTCCATCTGCCCAGCTTACCAGCTACATGATGAAGTATTAACCTCACTGAGCCTCAATGTCTTCTGTGAAGTGAGGATAAAATGATTTACCCTAAAGAGATCCAAGCGCTCATGAGGATGATAGGATTAAAGTGGATGCTTACAGCCTGAAGCCCAAAGCCTGGCCCTGGCCGGTGGTGCTACATAGACGCTAGCTGTTATCACTAGGTCGTCACCAACAGATGTTCCCAGCACCAGCAGGGACCTGTCATTCCTGT